TGTGTGGAAGCCGTTGGCAGGTTTGTTTAGTGGGGCTGGGCCCTCAGTCGGCACTCAGCTTTATAACTTCAAGCCATTTAGTCACACCTCATTGGACAGACTCATTATTTCTGAAGAGCTAGAGAAGCAGCTCACAAGATTGATGGCTCCTTCCGGTCTGGCTGGCTCCCACAGGGCTTCTTGGGGAGAACCTTTCTTTTTTTATTTTATTTTATTTTATTTATTTATTTATTTATTTATTTTTTATTCCCCCCCCCCCAAAGCCCCAGTAGATAGTTGTACGTCATAGCTGCACATCCTTCTAGTTGCTGTACGTGGGACACGACCTCAGCATGGCCAGAGAAGCGGTGCCCCGGTGCACGCCCGGGATCCGAACCTGGGCCGCCAGCAGCGGAGCGCGTGCGCACTCAACCGCTAAGCCACGGGGCCGACCCGGGAGAACCTTTCTGCTTGATCGACTTGGGCAGAATGAGTCCTGCCTCCTGAGTCCTCATATCTGACACGCACTCTACAAGTTTATGCTAGCAATGGTCATCATTCTGGTTGGATATTTGCAAGAAGTCCTTTCATCCCAAAGGACCTCAAATCACTTTCTATAGCTCACCTCTTGTGAGGAGCCTTATGTGGGAATCCCCTGGTGACAGTGGGAGCCCCGCAGGGAATGGCACAGGGCAGAGAGGTGACCTCTAGGAGGTGTTTACAACTGTAACACCGTGCCTTGGATGACGGAAGGCTGGGCAACCAACTGTCCTCATTTGCCCAAGACTCCGGGGGTTTCCTTGGATGCAGAACTTTCACCAGATTGTTGAGAAGCCTCAACAATAAGTCTCATCCTCAGGGGCAATTAGGTAGAGCAGGGCTCCTCCAACTTTAACACACAGACAAGTCACCTGTGGATCTTGATAACATGCAGATTCTGATTCAGGAGTTTTGAGGTGAGACCCAAGATTCTTCATGTCCAACAAGCTCCCAGGTAATACTGATGCTGTGAGTTCATGGGCCACACTTTGAATACCATTGGTTTAGTGGACCCACCTGAGGCTTTGGGAAGGTCTGGGTTGGCATCCTGGCCACATCTCTTCCCACGTGATGATTCTTTGAACCTCATTTTCCTCACTTGCTTTACCCCTGCTGCCCCTGAGGATGAACCCCACTGTGCAGGCTGCACACAATTCTGTGTTCCTGATCCCCTGATCTTCAGCTCCTACCCCTTCTGTCTCTCACCCTCCCTGGTCATACAGTGCTCACATTTTCTAGGAGGATAGCCATGATCATGTCCAACAAATGTAAACTTCCTCTTTCTATTTCCCACGCCTCCGTCAGTGGTGATTCAAGGTTATAACTGTTAAAACTCCCATTCTCCTCATCCTTAACCAACATAAATTTGGATGATAAAAGCCTGAGTGTGCCACAAACCTTCCCCTCCTACACACAGTGTGTTCCAGTTGTAGGTTTTCCCACTGTGGTACACAGAACTCTAAGATGGCCTCCAAGATTCCTGGTCCCTCTTCTATACACACCTTCTCCCAGAAATTCAAGGAAACACTAATCTGGGTGCTGCTATGAAAGGATTTTGCAGATGTAATTACTTTCCTTAATCTGTTGACTTTAAGATACAGAGACTTTCCTTGGTGGACCTGACCTAGTCAGATGAGCCCTTGAAAGGTACTGAGCCCTTCTTGGCATAAGAGATTGGAAGTGTGAGAGGCAGCTGATGTGAGGAAGATTCTCTATGGCTGGCTTTGAAGTTAGAGGGTGCCATGTGGCAGGGAACTGTAGGGAACTCTAGAAACTGAGAGTGGCCCCTGGCTGACAGCCAGCAAGGAAAGGAAGACCTCAGTCCTCCAACTGAAGGGAACTAATTTGGCCAACCATCTGAATGTTTGGAAGCAGATTTTTCCCTAGAGCCTCCAGATAAGAACCTAGACCAGTCAACATCTTGATTTTGGCTTGTGAGACCCAGAATAGAGGCTCTAGTTAATTCACGCCTGGACTTCTGACCCACAGAAATTGTAGATGATAAACAGGCATTGTAGTAAGCTGCCAAATTTGTGGTTATTTGTTATGCAGCAATGGAAAATGAACACGCTAATACACCCACTCAGATGACCAAAATAGAAGAACTAATGACCACCAGTCCATTTGGCTAGACTTTCTCTGGTACAGTTTTCCCCAGGAATCAAAGCACAAAGTAGGAATGAAATGATACACACATAGCATCTGGAAGAAATGTTACTAAAGTTGAGGAGCATGGTATCAGAACACCCTGATTCCTCTGACCTCACCTCTTCCCATTTTCCCCTCACTTCTCATATTCTAGCCATTCTGGCCTCCTTGCCTTTCCTCAGATACATCAAGTGTGTATCTCCCGCAGGGACTTTGCACATACTGATCCCTCTGCCTACATCGTTCTTCCTCCAGACAGCTACGTGACTCCCTTCCTCATGTTCTATAGGTCTCCACTCACATCCCTCCTTATCACTCATGTTTATAGTGTACGTGATTTGTCACCTGCAGTCAGGCCTTCCCTAACCACATGATTTGGAATAGCCACTCTCCAACCCTTCCCCACCAACACCCTCCGATGTTCATACACACTCCCTATCCCCCTGCTGTATCATCTCTCCTCCTTTTTGTCTCTCCCAACTAGTCATTAACGTCTATTTTATTTCTTTCTTTGCTTTTTGTTTGCCTCTCTCCACTGGATCATAAATTCTGGGAGAGCAGAGGGTGGTCTATTTGCTCCCTGCTGTGGCCCCAGTGCCTGGTAGAGTGCCCATCACACAGCGTGCCCTCCATAAATATGAGTAAATAGATGACGATGGTAAATTGAATGACATACTTAGCCAGATTGATGCATATATCAAGCACAAAAAGCAAATGCATTCTGACTTCAAATCCATTTAAAATTCCTTCTATACTTGTATAACTTGAGCTAATGTACTTAAAAATGCCTATGCGTCTATGAACTCTCACAAGTGTTCGCGGGCACATATTTATACACATACGCACACACACACGCACACGGTGCTTAATAAGAAGTACAAATAATACGCACCATAAATGTGTTTTTTGGGGGGAGAGCGAATTCTCTATGAACCCTGAACAGCATGGCACCCATTGCCTCAGCACAAAGTACTAGAAACTTCTCTTGCAAGGAAAGGTGGTCCTGTGACCGTGCCTCTTCAAATAGCCACCTGACCAACTCAGCCGAACTTGGATGAATTCACCAGATCTCTGTGTCAAGCAGAAAGACAGAGAAGAAAGCGCATTTGTGTCTAAAAGGTGTCTTAACTCTTTCACGATGGCCTTCATTTAGGGATAATGATTTAATTTCCAGGCTGCACATCTTCCCTGCTTAAATAGCACTTAGTGTAATTGATGCCAGGTTAATCACTGTGCCAGCCAAGGAAGTGTCCACGGGGCAGGAGCCACATGCTGTTTTACCTGTGCTTAAAGAGGAACATGTCACGCCTCTCTGATGAAACAGTGCTGCCTGAAAATAGCGCTGAGTCTCAAACGAGATCTTTGAGAACAATAAAGCACAAAGCACAATGTGGCAAAGAGAGAAAGATTCACCACTATCTGAGAATTAAGGTGAAGATCAAGGTGATTATTTTTTCTTCTTTATATTATTAAGTAGTTTCCAAAATTATAAAAATGGATATATATTATTTTATAATTGTTGACAACACAGTGTTATGTAAAAGAAAAGAAAAGACATATTATATGGAAAGTATTCTCAATTTTAGCTGGGACTTGTCTTGGTCCATTCGGCCTGCTATAACAGACAGCCATAGACTGGGCGGCTTACAAACAATAGAAATTCATTTTGCACGGTTCTGGTGGCTGGGAAGTTCAAGCCCAAGGTGCTACCTGATTCGTGTCTGGTGGGACCAGCTTCCTCATTCATAGATGGCCATCCTCTCCCTGTGTTCTCACATGGTGGGAGGGGTGGGGAGCTCTCTGGGGCCTCTTTTATAAGGGCACTGATCCCATTCGTGAGGGCTCCACCCTCATGATCCAATCACTTCCCAAAAGCCCCCACCTCCTAACACCATCACATTGGGGCTTAGGCTTCAACATATAAATTTGGGGAGGGAGGCACAAACATTCAGTCCATGGCAGGACTATAAAAAACTATAAGACTATGGAAGCACACTAGAATGTTGACAGTGGATACCTCTGGACAGTGGGATTATTGCTAAATTTTATCCCTCCCCCTTTGCTTTTTATTATTTTCTAAATTTTTGACAGTGAGTATATGCTACCTTTCTAATTTAAAAAAAGTTGGTTAATTTTCTAAAAATTGCTACTATCCTGTTTTTGTAATAACTAAGCATTTCATTTGTTTGCCTTGGGTTTATTTTAAACAGGTTTCATCTCTGATTCCTGGCATTATACTAAAAGAGGGGAAAGCTTTTATCTTGGAGAAATAAAGGGAGTGTTCCCCTTAAAGTGATTCAGCTTTTAGAAGGAATCTTTCCATCCCCCCTCCTCCTAAGATTTCCCATCACTAGCTGAAACAGGGCAGGCCCAAAGAGCCGCACCCTTGGCCTTACACTCATTTGAATCCAGAGCTGGAGTGACCCTGGGGATCCACCAGCACCACCCTCTTTCACAATGGAGAAAGCAGAGTTCCTGAGAGAGGATGAGATTTACTCAAGGTCACAGTGTGTTGGCAACATCATGACAAACCCAGGGCTAGAATCTCAGAGAGAATCTGTGTTCTCTCCTTTCTGTGTGTTCATGCTACTTATTTCTTAGAGTCGGATATAGAATCCTTATGAATTCCAAGCACAGAGCCTTGTATGTAGTAGACCCTCAATAAATGAAGGTTGGAAGAATAGAAAAATTAACTCAAAAAGTTTTGAACAGTAATGATCAATACTTTACATGGGGAAAAAGAGGTTCTGGAAAAAGCATCAATTCCTTTTTCTTGACTTGACAGGAGAAAAGGAAAAGCAGAGACAAAACTACCTTAGAAGTAGAAGATCTACCACTGTCTGCAACACACGTTGGCATCAGGTGCCAGGACCTGTCCCTGAGAGGAAGTGAAAGTGACTCTGATGATGGAAATGTCCAGGGAGGCCTGCACAGATCCTTCTTTGGGTTGAAGAGGTCCAAAGAACTTGGAAGAAATGTAAATATGTATATCTCTTCCTAGTGGGTAAAGAGAAAACCTAACTCAGTGGCATCAAGGGAGCTCTAGTGAGCAATTGATTGAGGAGCCTCAGAAACCCAATGGGACATCGCTCAGCTCAGCAACAACCAAGCGGCCAACACATGACAAACTTCACCTAGTAAAGGGAGGTTTAAATGCACCCTGGAGGCAGTGAAAGGAACAGAAGGATCATTTAGTCTCAAAAGCAGGGACAGTTTTAGAAGCAAAAGGAACATTTTCAGGATTTAGGAAGGCTTACTAATAACAATGCACAGGCTTCTCCAATGACAGGCTGTACATAACAGGCAGGGCTTGCCTTTCTTCTGCCATTTCTCCATCATTCACACCAACTAGGTCCCCCTCGGTAGAGGGGCTTACTCTGAGAGGAACAGTCACTTCATACAACTCGGTAACCCACATCACTCACAGAACATGGCAGCTGCCAGAGTTGACGGGAATTTCTCCATCATCCCCACTACGTGAGCCTCCAATGCTAGTTTTCATATGTTTCCATCCAGAGATGCCTTTTCTGAAGATTCCAACTTGTCTTTTTAACCTCAGTCTTTGACCCAGGTGAACTGTAATGCGAACATGATAACCTTGGAATACCAGGTATTCTTCCTTTGAACGTTTTCTCTCCCAATTCTGAGATTAAGGATTTGAATTTTCTTTATGGGATGAGAGAATAAAAGGTCACTGAAGACGATCTCGAGGCATCCTGTCCTGTGTATCATGGGGTGGGTGCACCGGGCAAAGATATGCATCTAGTTCGCATAGAGCTCCAATTTACTTAGATGCTTCTCTTATAGGAGGATGGGCTCCTCTTCTCAAGATAATCTCTCTTTCTTTTCATTTACTAAAACTATTAACTAGACTTATTTGGTAAAAAGATGGCTTTCCAGACAGAGTTGTCCGGCTGAAAGGTAATCCCTTTAGAAAAGGGCTTACACACACAAGTTGCTTAACGCCCTTTCATTAGATAAATAATCTGCAGAAGGCACAATGGCTCCCCCAAAGATGTCCATGTCCTCATCCCTGGAACCTGTGAGAATGAAACCTATGGCAAACGGACTTTGCAGATGTGACTAAGTTAAGGATCTTGGGATGGGGAGACTGCTCTGTATTTTCTTGGTGGGTTCTATGTAATCACAAGAGTTCTTACAAGTGAAAGATGGAGGCAGGAAGGTCAGAGTAAGAGAAAGTTTGAAGATGCTACACTGCTGGTTTTGAAGATGGAGGAAGGATCGTGAGTCAAGGAATGCAGGCGTCCTTTAGAAACTGGAAACCGCAAGGAAACGATTCTTCCCTGAAGCCTCCAGATGGAATGCAGCTCTGTTGACACCTTAATTTTAGCCCAGTAAGACCCATTTCAGACTCTGACCTCCAGAACTGTAAGATACTAAATTTGTGTTGTTTTAAGCCACTCAATATGTGGTGATTTGTTGCAGCAGCAACAGGAAGCTGCTGCATAACCCAACTGAAAAGGAACATTTGAGAATTACCCGTTGAAATTATGCCTCACCCCTTTCTCTAAAGAGATGATTCATAAACCGGAAAAGCAACCCCAGAGACTTCTAGTGTGGACTCTTCTGTAGCCTCTTGCAACAAAATCGAACCACAATGTCCTGTGAGCATGAGCACTCATAACCACGGCCACCCTCACTTTGGCTAACACGCATTTCACACAGCCGTATGCAATCAGAACAATCAGTTCTAAATTATAGAGCTTTTTGCTCTGCAAATCAGCTCTCTGGTCTCCTTTTTACTCCAGATTATAACAAATTTAAATACCTCCATAGCACATGAAACAAAGACATTCCTAATGTGTAATTTGGGAGGGAATTTAATGATACATCTGTCTGTTTTGACAAAGCACAGTCTTGAAGTATCTATTTAAAATAAAATCAGCAGATTGGCAGCGATTAAAAATGAAAGGCTATAAAAAGTTTAGGGAAAAAAGCATTAAAGTCTAATAGCTCTTGGTTTCTGTGCCAGCACTATAGTAAATATTTCCAGCACCAAATTTCTCTCTTGAAATCTCGGCATTAGATACTACAAAAGCTACCACCATTAAACACATACCAAAAATCCATCTTTTATAAAGATTAGGCAATGAGTCCATCTGGAACCCAGTAAGACTGAGTATGCATAATATTTCAAGATATTTTATTGGACATTGCTGAGCACTATCTTTCAAATCAGTTAGGCAGAAACAATATGCTATTACTTTGTATAAAGATTGCCATGAAACCTTTTTGATACTTCACTAATGTTAATTTGCCTGAGCAATTTGTTAATGAATTTTGGAAGTTTGTGAGTTTAGGATATTCTATATGATCATTTGGAAATTTACTAAATAACCATATAATGTATTGATATCTCAAAAGCTTTAATATAGTTTACACCTTAAAGCAGCCAGCCCTGGGGTGGTCTAGTGGATAAGATTCAGTGCTGTCACCGCCATGCCCCAGGTTCATTTCCCTGTCAGGGAAGCACATCACCCGTCTGTCCGTTGTCATCCTGTGGCAGCTGCGTGTTGCTGTGATGCTGAAAGCTACACCCCTGGTATTTCAGATCCCAGCTGGGTCACCCATGGTGGACAGGTTACAGCAGAGCTTCCAGACTAAGACAGACTAAGAAGAAGGACCTGGCCACCCACTTCCAAAAAATTGGCCACAAAAACCCCACAAATAGCAGCAGAGCATTGTCTGATATGGCACTGGAGGGTGAGAAGATGGCATAAAAAGACAAGGCAGGGTTCCGCTCTGCTGTGCACAGGGTCACTGGGAGTCAGAATCGACTGAACAGCACTAACAACAACAAACACCTCAAAGCAATAACATGATGACCAGAGACACCTACTACCAAAATGCACTTTTAACTAAAGTCGTCACGAAATCGCAGGAATTACCAGTGACTGAATGACACCAGTAAGAACCCTCGGGGTAAAGCTAATGCGTATGCAACAGCCGTGGACCCAGAGCCCCACCCTGAGGCCCACCCCAGCATAGACCTCAGTTCCCTCCTCAGATTAAGCTTCCCTCACCTTCTGGCTCCAATCACACTTAATGTCTCTATAGGTCCCCTGCTTCCTTTCCCCAACTCAGCTTGTTGAAATTGTTGGGCATTGGAAGAATCTAGTCCTTACCTTATGTATCTCTTACCTGGTATCGACCCAGTGATATAAATTCTCTTGCACGAGTTCCTTACGCTATGGTGAAGCCTTATATTCAGTGACTCTCCCAAGAACTACAACGGGGACTTCGAAACAATCCTACAGCTTTATAAAACTGTTTACTTGTGTAAATGGCTAGAGATGATTTATGGCATGGCATAGGACTGTGCAAATGTGGACCTTTAATACTTCTATGATTATAGCTACTTCCTTAGAATATAGTTGTCCCAAGTGTCTCCAAGACGAAAATAGAGGAAGTAGAGAGTATGATCAAAGAAATCATATTTATTCATTTAGTCAGTAAATATTTATGGTATATCTATTATATGCTATGTCTTGTGTTAAGTGTTGAAATACAGTGAAGGATAAGATGGTCATGGTTGTGGTCTTTTTCCTCATGGTCTAAAATGATTGCTAAAGCTCCAGCCTTCACAAATGTATTCCAGGCATTAGGATATAGGGAGGGATAAAGAAGAGCATGTCTCCTCCCTTTACGGGAGGAATTTTCCACACTATCACTTAAATCTCATTGACAAAAACTTAGTCGCCTATTCACACTAAGCTGCAAATGAGATGAGAAAAATAGACTCTTAGCTATGTGGTCTGTGTCTAGCTCAAATTCAGTGTTCTTATTTCTAAGGAAGAAGAAGAAATGGATCTGGGAGTTTAACTAGCATACTCTGACCAGTATGCTTATTTCTTTTATATTCTTTAGCATATAGCCTGACTTCAAGCATAGGAAATTCTCCATTTAGTCTGAATAATAATAAAGTGTGACAATGTAAGAAAAAGCCACATAAACATAAAATATTATCATTGAAGATAAAAATCTACTAGCTATTAATTCAGGAAGTTGGTACTTTCAACACCCAGAGTCTGAAAGGTGTTTTGGGACAGGACCAAGATCAATCCCATAATATATTGACTTCTTTTCTGTTAAATTAACAGTTATTTCAATTTCAGATTTATTTGGTTGCTAATTTTTGTAGAGTTATTTCTATTCACAGATTGTTTTTCTTTTTAAAATCCTTAAATATTATTCCTGTGTAAAACATCTGTCCTCAGGAGTCCTCTTGATGACTCCTCCAACACTCCACCTCTTGTATCCAGCTCTTATAATCTTGTATGCACCCCTCCTCTGCAATGGTCCTGAGCGGTCAGCAAGGGGTTCACTAACACGGAGGAGGCTCCTTTGGCAGATATCCCGCTGCACTGGAGGCAGATACCTCAGCAGCAATAGATGCATGTGCAAGAGAAAACACAGATCAAGATAATGATTTCCAGAATAAGTAACAATTTTTTTCACCAAGAGCCCCATGATCCGGACCACCGATTTATTAAGTCCCCTAGGCTGGGGGTTAAATCACTCAGAGCATTCACTTGTGGTTTTGTGGTGTTTTGTGGTGGGGGGGCGGGAAGCAGGGGACCTATAGAGATCAGCCCTGTGCTAACATCTGCCAATCCTCCTCTTTTTTTGCTGGGGAAGACCGGACCTGGGCTAACATCCGTGCCCAACTTCCTCCACTTTATATGGGACGCCGCCACAGCATGGCTTGCCAAGCAGTGCGTTGGTGCGCGCCCGGGGTTCCAAACTGGCAAACCCCCGGCCGCCGCAGCGGAGCGCACGCACTTAACCACTTGCGCCACCGGCCGGCCCCTCACTTGTGTTTTTATGTGATTTAATAAAGATGATACATTAGCAGATTCATCAGGCGTGAACACACAACATTCTGTTTGGATAATGGCACAGGTGCCTTCTTGTGAGGCAGTAATAATGCCCGAGGCCATTCTATTTTGGAGGACAACTTTTCTCAGTAGAGATATTTCAGTGTTCAGTAAGGACAGGCTTTGTTGGCTATCATTTAAGGCTTGCTGGGTGAATTTAGTAAGGGCTTCTATGTGTGCTATGACGTCCTCCAGGCCAACAGAGGGAACAAAGATGGCAGCACTAATGGAAAACAGAATGTGCCCACCTGGTCTTAAGGGAAGGGAGATTGGCAACTTGTGGGGCAGGTTTTCTCCACAGAAAGCCTAGGGTGTAGGGACCTAACCACCCAGGTAGAAGCCACACCCAAAGATCTATGCCACCCAACCATTCGGTCCCATTCAGGGTTATCCTATAAACACCTGGGTGATGCGACCAGTCAGTGACAAACCATGGGCTGTCCTTCAATGTGACAGAACAACTACACAGTTCTGGAGATATCCACTCCATATCCCTGGTACAAT